ATTCTGGAGCAGACAGGTGTATTTCAACTGGTTGAAGGGATCATTAAAATATTAGCTTTAAAAACACATATCTAAGCTTTGCTGTCCTGGTTCAAGGCATCAGTCAATAATCTCTAAACACCTAAACTAATACTTATGCGACCATCAGTGTCACATAAGTAGGAGATAACCAGAGATATGATGCTTTGCAGATAGGAAAAGATGCTGACAAGATGAACACAAACTATGAAGGCTATTCATTCCTTTGCACTTGTGTCACCATTCAATTAGATTATGGGTGATCTCAACCTCAATTCAAACGACCACACTGGTTCTTAACCCTGGTGGTTAACTAACAAAAATATGTCAATATTAGTCCTGAAATTTAAATAACTGAGCATCCATCATATGTCTGTGGAGTGGGGAAGATGACAAAAATTCACCTTTGTGAAAAAAAGTCTCTGATTTCACTATTCAATTGATTAACTTTAATATCCCTTTGCTTTGAATTTGTCAAGCAAATAGTTTAATATGTATTTATCAAATCATTTCAGCATTTTTAAAAACATTAACCTTCTTAAGCAGCCATGTTATCCAATCTGTCCTCATAATTTAATGCTTGATATCGTGATATCATTCTGCTAAATTTACACCACGACACATCCCCTTCCCCTCACTCCCTCACCAGCCAATTTATCCCTCCTGAGTTTAGTGCCCAAAACTAAACCCAGTTTAAACAAAATGGTTTAAAAATTCAGGTGTGAGATATTCTGAGGTTTGCAAGCAGAATGAGGCGTAGTAAAGTTTTCCAGAACAAAGAGGGGTAATGCAAGTAAAATCAGGCTAAGCAAATCTGATAGTGTGGAGAGCAAGGAATATTACACAGCAGGCTGAGAGAGATTTGGTAATGCTCAGGTCTTTTTTTGATTTTAAATTTTCAGTATTGTTTCCATCACAATTTTGTTTTCCGAGAAGAAAATTTAAAAGGACTTAACAACTTTTCTTTCCTGAGAACATCCTTCCAAAGCCACAAACAAAGCCTATGAGCTGCCTGGAAATTAGCTCAACTTTGTTGTTTTTACATTTGAGTGGAAAACAATTTGCTCCCTGGATAATTGTTCCGTGAATAAGTTATAACAGACCCTGGAGAAACAAACAATTACCAATGACAAACCATTTTGGCTGTTCTCAGGGTACCATCTACTCAGAAATAAAATCACACAGCAGAGAACATTCGCTCCATCATACCTTTGCTGGTACTACAAAACAGCTACTCAATTAATCCCATGCCTGACCATTGCCCCACAACCCTGCAATGTATATCCAATTCTTTTCCTTACACATATTTATCCAATTAACTTTGAAAATGATAGAATCATAGAGTCATACAGCATGGAAACAGACCCTTTTGTCCAACACGTCCATGCTGACCAGGTTTCCCTGACTAAACTAGTCCCATTCACCTGCGTTTGGCCCATATCCCTCCAAACCTTTCCTATTCATGTGCCTCTCTGAAAGTCTTTTAAATGTTGTAACTGTACCTACCTCTAAAATTAGAATCAGCTTCTATCGCTTGCACAGACCTTGTTTTTATCTTTTGATGTATTGCTAGGATGCACCCGTGGTTGCTGTAGGTTGTCCAGACTTTGTGGTACAACAATGTGCTGAGGATACAGGCCTTGAGGATAGACATCTTGATCTTGTGGCTCAGTTTGGCATTTCTTCATGTTCACCTTGTCTGTCAGCCAGAGTTATTAGCTACCCATCCAAGGCATGTGCTGTTCACACTCCAGGAGACTTTCCAATCATCTGCTCCCTTTCACATATTAGTTTAGAATTATGGTTCTTGAAAGACTGACCGTGTAATTAAACCCTTCACAAAAACAGACCAACATCCACATGCCCCCACAGTGAAATTCAAACTCTAAATACACTTTATATCAATTGCACACATTTCATTGCACCGTCTGTCTTAAATGGGTGACACCTTATTTTTAAATTCATACCTTGAGAATCTCTTACAAGAGGAAGCATCTTTTCACATCCATCTTGCTAAATAAGATCCTAAAGGGTCGAGACAATCAAGTCAGTTCTTCAACACTATTTGGACAGGCTTCACTTGAATCCTCAACTTTCCTCAGTGATCACCCCACCCGTTCAAGATACTTGCTCAAAGATCTCCCTTAAACTGCTTCCAATGCATTTATATCCTTCCTCAAATCAGGAGACAACACTGATGAGAGTATATCTGGACATTTGTACAATGTCCTGTATAAATGAAGCCCAACATCCTTACTTTTATGTTCAATTTCCCCTGTAATAAGGATAAGTACATCAGCCTTGATTATTTTTTGTACTTGCAAACATTTTTGTGACTCTACAAAAAACCACTTAGATTTTTCTGCAACTTGGAATTCTGCGATTGTTCTCCATTTAAGTAATATTCTGTTTTATTCTTCTTATCAAAGTAAACAACTTCACATTTTTCTGCATTGTATACATTCTGCCAGATTTTTTGCCCACTCACTCAATCTATTTATACCTGTCTGCAAACTCTTTACGTCATAATTATCTACCCATCTTGATGTCATCTGCAAATTTAGCTATCAAACTTCTGATAAATTGTAAAAAGCTGAGCTCCCAGCACAGATGGTACTACACTCATCACATCCCACTAATGAAAAAAAACCATTTATACATAATCTCTGCTTTCTGTCATCCTGCTAATCTTCTACTGATGCAATTAGTTTACCCCTACAACATAAAACTCCTACTTTGCACAATAACATTTTTTTATGTAGCAGTTTGTCAAACGCCTTCCGAAAATCTAAGTACAGAAAACATTGTTTTAACCAGCACCTTATAAACTGGCACTCGCAATAAACCGACAAATCTGAAGAAGGGTCTAGGCCCGAAACGTCAGCCTTCCTGCTCCTCTGATGCTGCCTGGCCTGCTGTGTTCATCCAGCTCTACACCTTGTTATCTCAAAAATTATATACCTGATATACCAGAAGTTTACTCTATTATCGTGGTCTCCGAGTAGTCAGCTGAGGGTGACAGCAAGAAGTTTTATTTAAGATAAATTCACGTTATTATTTAAGTGATTTATGTTGTAAATAAAGTATTACAGTGATATATATACCTCCCCACATTATGCTGCTATTACTTAGTGTGTGGTTTTACACTGATTACGTGGACTCCTTGATCAACCAGAATACTTGATCAACCAGCACACACCTGGTCGCATAGGTGCTGGTTACTAAAAGGTTTCCTGTACAGTATGACTACAGGCTTCCCTTTATCCATAGCACATAACTCCTTCAAAGAATTATGATCAATTGGCTAAATACAATTCCCCTTTCACAAAACCATTCATTTCCAAATTACCTTGAGTTTTTCTAAGTGCACAGCTGTAGACTCATTACTGATCGATTCTGACAGCTTCCCCACAACAGATGTAAAGCCAACTGGCCTGTAGTTTCCTTTATTCTGCCTCAATTTCTTCCTGAATATAGGTGTTGTATTTGTTCCTTTCTAATTTAGTTGAACCATTACAGAATTTAGCCAATTTTGTTAAACTAACACCAATGCATCTACTACCTCATTCATGACCTTTTATGAAGCAGGGGAGGCCAAGGATAGATTACTTAGAGTACTTTCTATTCGTGATTAGAGGAAGGGAAACTGACAAAAACAGGCAGTCCCCAGTTTTCGAACGGGTTCCATTCTTCAATCTGTTTACAAGTCAGTTTGTATGCAAGTCAGAACACAATGCAGGACAAAATGAAATAGCCATTCAAAAATACAGGAAATTGTATGTATGATTGTATGTCAGATCTTTAAAATTTCACCCCTGTATGGAATCACATTTGTAAGTCAGATGTTTGTAAATTGGGGAACCCCTGTGTTGGTTAAATAATGGAATAAAAGTTAATGGGAATAATGTACTAAAAAGGACGATTATATTTGTGTGGCTTGCATCCAGGTTGCTAGAGGAAATGGGAACAGAGATGGCACAAAGATTTACCATGATTTTCAGATTGCCAGATACAAGGGAGATGTGAGAAAAAGGGAGTGGCAGAAGTGACACTACCATTTACAGAATGATGCAAGAACAGTCCTGGCAACTACAGACGGTCAATTTAACAATAAATGTAAGGCTTTAGAAACAGACATTGGAGCGAAAAAAAATCCACAGGTATTAGGAGGCATTTGAGTTAGTGAGCCAGTGCAGATTTGTAGAAGGTTGACCGAGCTGATTAATCGAATTGTGTATTTTAGTAACGTAGCAGAAAAAGTTGAAGGTAAAGCACTGGATGCTGTTCCTATGGGTTTTAAGAAAGCCTTTGACCACATTAAAAAGCCGGTTTAAAAGCGGGGCTCGTGGAATTGGGAGTCACTAAATAATCCTCTTGGTACCAACGTGGGGGGTGGGAAGGAGAGTGAGTCTCTTTTGTTGCCAAGAGGCAGATTATCCTGAAACTCAGAGCGTAAGGGAAACACCGCAAAGAGTGGCGCCGTGCATGAAAGCTTCTGACCTGCAGGCGAGAGCAGAAGCAGCTACGGCGTGAGGTTAGACTCTACAGGAAGAGAGCGGAACTCCCCCCCCCATTTTCCCCCCCCCCCAGAACAAGAGCACCCGGTGGAACCAACCCCCTGAGGCCAGCGATGTGATTCGCTGCCCCCCCCCCCAACCCCGGAGTCTGTGCTCACATCCAAGTTGGCCGCCCTTGCCATGGCAGAAGGTAAGTAAGAGCTCGCGTTCTGCTCTTTTGCACGCCAACCCTCTTTCTAAATTCCCTCCCCCTCGACGAACACCTCCCCTTCCCCCACCCCGGTCCGTCCGTGTTCGCCAGGCTTCCCCTGTTACTTTTGTTCTCTGGCTCTGCCTCGTTTAGCCATCAGATTAAGGAAAAGGGTCCATCGCTGTATGCTGAATTAGAGAGAACCACAGACGAGGAAAATAAAGTACTGAAGCTCCTTCTCGCCCGCACTCAAGATGGCGGTTGGTCTTTCTTCCCTCCTGGCGGGGAGGGGGAGGAAACAGTTGAGTCACGTGGCCAGCGCCAAGATGGCGGCCGAGCTGCTCGCTGCGCCTGCGCTCCTCGGTTGCTAGGGGCGGCGGTCAGCGAGTCCGGCAGTGGGAGCCGGCACCGCTTGCCTTCCTTCGGCCGCCTGGCGATGGAGGAGGCCCAAGTGGGTCCCGTCCCGCCTTCCGAGAAGGGAAACGACACTCCCTCTGGGTGCCAGCAGCAGCACCAGCAGCAAGCGGTCATCCACCCAGTGGCCCGGGAGAGGGTGTGCGGCCGCCTGCAGGACAGTAAAAGCCTGGACGGCATCAGCGAGGTACTGGCTGGCGTCCGAGGCCGGGACGGCAAGCTGGAAGGACGGAGGGCGACCATCTCCAGTGCCCTGGAGCTGGAGGGTACCGTCAGCCACGACGGGGATCTCACTCACTATGTGGCCAACAATCTGCAGGATAAGATAAAAATGAGTTCAAAGCAGAGCCTGGACCTGGAGTGTGAGTATCAGGGTGGGCTTTAGCAAGGACCCATATACGTCTCAAAGTAAACAGATGCAGGCTGTGCCAACTACACTAGAAGTGCAGTTGAGGCATTCAATAAGTTATTGGATGATTATTCGGATAGATATATTGTCCGAACGTATGGGGACAAAGCAAAATATTGGCAGTAGGTAATATTCATTCAAATAGCTAGGGCATACAGAATGGGCCGAGTGGTCTGCTGCTGCACCGTTACACCTCTGTGATTCTGTTAAGTCAGTTAGAAGTGTCAAATGTAGAAATAGGGGAAGATCGGAAAGTGGTAAAAGGCACAGGAAACAACTTGACCTCTGATTTAGGACAAGGCAATTTTGTTGTATGTGGCCAGACGATGTGAAGTTAATATAATTTTCTCTAATGTTCCCAGCTAATGAGTGAAATTAATGCAAAAAACCTCTGTACAGACACGTAGATGATCATGCTCAATTTTGTTGTATCTGATATAATCTCTAAAGTTCTGGAGTAGATTAGTAGATTTGGAGTCGATATAATCTTTATGTGACTGATTTACATTGGAAAAATCCAAAAGCTAGGTACACATTTCTTCTTAACAAAACAAGGGAAGGTGTATGTTGCACTTAGGGATGTATTCTTTCTTGCAAATTACATGTTTTGCGAGTTTTGACAGCTCCAGATTTGACTGACCAAGAGTTCAGAATTATGATTTCCATCTCTTCATTCAGCCTAATAGAGGTACCTGGTGTTTGTGGTTTTTGGGAGTTGAGACATTTCACTTTCTTTTAAGTTAGTTTGTTAGTAGATAAAGATCTGTTGTAAATATGTATGGGTTTCTTTCAACCTTTGCTTAATGAATAAAATTGTTTAATGTTTCTATAGCAAACTAGGCATTTAAAAGAAATTCATATGGCAGTGAAGATGTAGCATTCTTCCTTGTGTCTTTCCCAGCTGGAAGTAGCGTGAAAACCAGAAGTATGCAAAGGTTAAAATCAGACAATCCTCCGATAGATCCTGGTGTCCTGCTAGATTTGGAGCGAGATGCAAAGGAGGTCGCTCAGAAAGTCGATCAGATGCTGAAAAGCCTAAATGCCACAATTCAGAACGTATGTATGCATCTGATCAAGTTCTAACCATGATGGTTGGTTTTTAATCATGCTGAAACCATTGAATTTTCAACCCTGGAGCAACTTTACAGCAGAGAAGGATTTCATTCAGCTAGTGTATGTGCTGGTACTTTGAAAGAATTGTTTGCTTAGTCTATTTCCTCATTTTGTTAATTTTTTAAATTATGACATGACATGGCATGATACACTTTGAAAAGCTGCTTTGGAATTTGCTGCTAGTGTTTTTCATGCCCCGACGATGCTCCGTCTTAAGAGAATAGTACTCCATTCTCTGATCATCGTCAGCATCTGCAGATATTAAATCTGCATTTCAGTGAGCAGTGGAAATAGTTTTTTTTTTCCAAAGCGTTATCAAAACCCTTTATAATTTGAACATTTGTGTTAAGTCTTAGTGAAAAGAGTCTTCATTTCTCTTGACAATTTCTGACCTTTATTTAGCATCTCCTCATCTGTGGCTTCTCCAGTGACTTTTCACTGTCATCCATCTGGGTGAGACTGCACTTGTTTGGCTTCATGCTCATTTATCCAATCTTGGCTATTATACCACTTGCATGGATTCTATCCCTGCTGCACAGCATGACATCTGAGGTCCCCCAGAGGGTCTATCCTCAGTCCCCTCGTAGGTTTAATCTACATACTGTCTCTCGGTGACATCATCTCCAAGCACAGCATTAGTTTTCATGAGTATGCTGATGAGACCCAGGTCTCCCTCAGCACCACTGCCTCTCAAATTCTTCACTGTTGTTAAATTATCAGACTACGCGTCTGCCAAACTGAAAGTGCAGTCTAGACTTGGCTGGTTTTTTGAATTTTAATCCCTCCCCACCGCTGATCCTGAGTTATTTGTGATCCTTTAATTCTGCACTTAAGCTTCAGCTGCATAGGTCCTAGGTTCTACAATTGAACTCCACAAATCTCTCTCACTACTTTTTTTGTTCCTTTTGCAATGTTTCTGAAAACATGTGTCATTGATCATGCTTTTGGCCATCTGCCTTAATATCATTTTATGTAACTTGATGTCTAATTTGATAGAGTGCTGTCAGCTTTATTATAATTAAATACGCAATATTAGTTATTGTATAATCTTAGTAAATCTCTTCTGTAATTTATGCACGTCATTGACCTTTTTCCAAAGAGAGATGTCCAAAACAACCTGATACTCTTAACTGTAGTCGAATCAATGCTTTTAACTACTTCAGTAAACTCTTTCTGCATTTGACTGTCAACTTCCAAACATTGGGTTGAAGTCCGTTGGTATGTCTTGACGAAGTAGTTGAGCTAACACAGACACCTGTGCTTGAATACTAACAAGTCTGCAAGCTTTGCATGTGTGCTTTTGTCCTTCCTGGATACATCTAAAATGCAACTCGGGCACAAAGATGGAAATTGTTGGGCTTCTCTTGATAGATGCAAGTCACTCATGTTTCACAGCCATACAACATGTTGAGAACATGGGCCTTGTAAACCATCAACTTGGTCTTAAGGTCAATTTGAACTGGAGTTATTTTGTGTGCATGTTATGAGTTGGCCAAAGGTGATAGCTGTGTTCCATATGCATGTATATAGTTCCATATCAAGGGGCAGGTTGTCTGTCACTGGGTCTGAGCTATTAGAATTTGCTAACCACTTTGCATTACTTAGACAGGAAAAGCAAGTTACAGGTATGGGAGAGAAAGTTCATGAATTTTCAGGAACACAGCCATATCTCACTCCATTCTTCACCCCAATACCCTCTGAAGTGGAGCCATCAAACTGAACAGTACAGTAAAGCATATGTTGTTGCGGAAGGCGGGATTGAGACTTAGGAGCTTTTGTGAACAGTCAAAAATCTTGTGGAGTCCTGTTTTCTCAAAGACATTCAACACCATTAGCAGATCTATGACGTAAATTGAAGGGGTATAGCCTGTTCCCTACACTCCTCCCTCATAGATGATGTACAGAGAAGAACATGTCTGTAATAGATCTGCCAACATAGATATTGTGCTGTGCTTTAAGGTGTGCTTTGTTTGCAAGTAGATGGAGTCCCATAAGTTTGACCCAAAGCAAAGGCCTTCCCCCGAGCTTAAGGAGTGAGAAGAACTTGAATTTATTCGGTCTCCTCTGTCACCTTTTGTTTTTATATAATGTGATGATTTTTGCATTCCAAATCTTCTGTAACTTATTTCCAAGGAGAAGATCATTAAGCTTTGACAATAGATGTGACTTCCTGTCCTTCAGCAATACTGCTGGAATTCTATCCTCTTTGTTTTTTCTAAACTGCCTATGGCATTTTCCAAATCATGATGAGCATTCTTCGTCTAACTCATCCATGATAGATGCAGTGGAGCATCAGCTTATTTATGTAGCACCTTTTAACATCATAAATGTCCCAAGGCACTTCACAGTAGTGTTATAAGACAAAGTATGGCACTGCCACGAGGAGATATCAGATCAGAAGACCAAATGCTTGGCAAGAGTTAGGTTTAACGTGATGTCATAAAGAAGGAAAGCAATGGGGAGAGGTGTAAGGAGTTTTTTTAATATATATCAGAGCACTACACAAGGCAGTTATTTGACCTGTCACTCCTTTTGAAATGCAAACCTATTAGTCCCATTTCCTCCCTTTTTCCATTTGGCTTGTGCATTTTCCCCCCTTCCAAGTATTTATTTACTTCTCATTTGGAGGTTGGTTACTTCGTACCTGATCAGGCAGTGCATTCTAAATCTCAAGCATTGGTTTTGTAAAGGAGGATTATTGCCTTGGTTTTTTCTTCAGCCACTCCGCTTAAATTTGTGCCTTTTCAGCTGTTGTATTCATTGTGTCTGTGGATGCCCTTTTCTCTTGTGTGAATATGCTTAGGTTGAACTTGAACAATCTCACCTTGAAGGCCTGCCAGTGCTCATTTATTGTTTTCCTGACCAACCTTTGTTTCCAGTGCATTGGTGCTCGATCCTTTTGCAAAACATTGAATTTGGCTCTCTTTAGATGGGTATTTTCACTATTGATTTTTATTTATCCTTTTGTATAACTATTTTAAACCTAATTATATTAGCCAATGTTGTCCTACTGAATACGTTGCACTTGCCCAAGTTCATTTTCCAGAACAAGATCCGACATTGGCTCCTTTGTCATTTGATGAGAAACATACTTCCAGTATATGTTTTAAGAACCCTTTATCCTCCTTACTTTATTGCACTACTTTTTCCCCAGCCTGTTAGGCTAATTGAAGTCCCTTGTACACCCGCCTGTTAATTTAGCGTATCTCAGAAACTTGCAGACGAATTTTTGTCCTTCATGCTTTTCTGTCTCATCAGTTTATTGTGGACTAGAAGTTAATTATTTGTTTAATATTGTCTCCTGCTGTTGTTTTTAAATGCAGATGACCGCATTAAGTGTTGGCTACATTCAAACGTATCGAGATTCAGTGGATAGTCTTGGAGAGTCAGTGGATATGAGTATAAAGGTGAGGGCACAGAAACAAAGTGAAAACTAGTTTCGTTGAATGCTGAATATTTTAACTGATTTTTATTTTAAAAGCCAGTCTAATTGATTTGACTTGCTGCAAGTCAAGATATAACTTTGCAAATTTGTACTTCTATCTATAATCCTCGTAATCATCTTTAATCACTTTCATGGTTCTTGGTGTGTCTTTTTTAAAAGATTTGCTTCATTCTTGTGCTGATTGCCATAGGTTAAGTAATATTCTATCAAATAAATGGCTGTTATGCCATTATAATAAAAATATGGAACAAGATAGCTATTCCTGTATTTTCTATGCTGCATTATTAAACTCTAAATTAGTATTTGATTTGGAGTCGCATCCAGTATTTTCATCCGTACCCTGTAAACTGAGTTCCAGTATGAACAGTTGCAGAAAATCTTGCCCTATTAGCATCACTTCAGACAAAACCTTGGCTGGCCGTTAAAGGCAGTCAACTCATCCTTAACAATACAAGTGACATGAGAAAGTGAACAAAAAACCTGAGATTTGTGTAACAGAGCTTGAAGTGGTTGAATCATTTAAAATGCAGAATCTTGCTCCTATGCTCCTGACGAGGCCTACCATGTCTTGTTTATTGAGAAGTTTAAATGTAATCTTCTGTTGTATTTGGGTTTTGAAAGACAAATCGAGGAAGATTCTTGCTGTGTGTTGCTGTCTAACAAGGCTTGCTAAAAGTCGAGGAGGACAGGGAACAGGAGTATAATAGAAGTGTCTTCTGGTTTTAGAATAGTTGCTTAGAAACATACAGTCTGTTGCAGTGAGTGCTGCCACATCATTTGGAATTGACATTTTTATAACTATGGAATGCTTTCCTGCTTTTATCTTGGAGAATAGTCATTTTTAATGCCCAAGGCGACACTCCTTTTGTAGTGTTGCCATTAGTATGTTTATTAAAGTCATAATAGTTGTGCTTGTTCAGCAGTGAAACACTTTTTGAAGAAGTCACATGGAAACTTCTAACCTCAGTTGTAATTATGAGGGTCCAATGATTACAATACTGAATTGACAATTTGTCGATGAGTTTAAATTCTAACATGTCAAATTGATAAACTGTATTCCATAAATATTATAATTTTTGAAGAAATAAAAGTGGTCATGAAGGTTGTCAAATTCTAGTTTTGGAAAAACCCCACATGATTCAGCGATCTGCTTCATGGAGAGAAACCCACCATTTGTCATTAATCAGGCAGATGTTTAACTCCAGTTCTACAAATCATGATTGAATCTTCATGGGGTTGGGACAACTGGAGAAAGGCATTAAATACCAAATTATGCCAATGTTGCCAACATCTCAAAACAAAAGGAAACCAAAAGATTAGCTTGAGTTTTGACTATCTCCCACCAGTTCGATTTTAATTTGGATGAAGAACTACATAAATTGATTTTAAATATAAAAATTGGCACCATGTGTGCTATTTTTGTCCTGATCACATAAGTGTTACAGTGCAGTAAAGTCCATTTGGCCCAACGTCTGCATGGCTCTCCAAATCAGCGTTATGACTTAGTGACATTCTCCTGCCATTCCCCCATAAATGGGAGGCTATGAAGGGGATTATTGGATGGCGGAGGGTTGGTGAAGGGGGTAGAATAGAGATGAGATGGTTTGAAGAGTCATTTCTGCTAGGAGATACGTCAGTGAATGATTTGGGAGGTGTAGTGGGTAATGATTGAAGTTTCTGAATATGCAGAGATTGGAAGACCTGATTATGTCCATTTTTGAGGCCCAAGATCACGTAAGCTTCATTAACTATTTTCTCAACAGGTCATGCCACCTTTGCAGAGATCCAAGCAAGTCAACCTGCAAATTGCTATTGCCTGTACACTTTTTAGAACTGTGCCATTTAGTCTGTATCACTTCCTATTACTTTTGCCAGAATGCGTCACCTCATACTTGCATGTTAAATTCCATCTACCATTTACTTGTCCTTTCTGTTAGCTTATCTCCATTTCAGTCACTTAGTGTCATTCTCCTTGGCAGTCATAACTTGAAATTTGGAATCAACAAATTTGGAAATCACTTTGTAGTCCAATATCCAAGTTACTCTTAGATATATAGTTATTTGGTACTACAGAATTTGTGTGTTGATAAATGAAGGTGTATTTTGTTGAAGCTTTTCATCTTGCACTCATCAGGGCAATCCCCAAGAAATATTAACTCTAAAGGCAAAAATGTGTTTATACTTTATGAAAAATGGTTCATTGGCAAGTGCTAACTTTAATAAGTAAAATTTAATTCATAAATTTAAGTAAATCATCAAAATTTGATAAGTAATTTCTGTGTGTGCTAAACATTACGCTCTCAACAAATTTAAGATTCAGTTGGGCTTGCAATGTGGCACATTTGCACACACTGGAAGCTGTATCAATTGATGCACAGAGCCTTGATGTTTGATACAGGATTGCTCCTACTTTAGGGTACAACTAGATCTTGATTAGATTGGCCAATGGGCTGAGGAGTGGCAGATGGAGTTTAATTTGGATAAATGTGCAGTGCTGCATTTTGAAAAAGCAAATCAGGGCAGGACTTATACACTGGCAAGGTTCTGGGGAGTGTTGCTGAGCAAAGAGACCTTGGAGTGCAGGTTCATAGTTCCTTGAAACTGGAGTCGCAGGTAGATAGGATAGTGAAGAAAGCATTTGGTATGTTTGCCTTTATTGGTCAGTGCATTGAGTACAGGAGTTTGGAGGTCATGATGCAGCTGTACAGGACATTGGTTAGGCCACTATTGGAATTCTGCAAGCAATTCTGGTCCCCCTGCTATAGGAAGGATATTGTGCAACTAGAAAGGGTTCAGAAAAGATTTACAAGGATGTTGTCAGGGCTGTAGGATTTGAGCTGTAGGGAGAGGCTAAATAGACTGGGGTATTTTCCTTGGGGTGTCGGGGTCTGAGGGGTGACCTTATAGAAGTTTATAAAATCATGAGGGATGTGGATAGGGTAAATAGACAAGGTCTTTTCCCCAGGGTCGGGGAGTCCAAAACTGGAGGGAATAGGTTTAAGGTGAGAGGGGAATGATTTAATAGGGACCTAAGAGACAACTTTTTCACGCAGAGGGTGGTGCATGTATGGAATGAGCTGATAGAGGAAGTGGTGGTGGCTGGTACAATTACAACGTTGAAAAGGCATCTGGTTGGGTATATGAATAGGAAGGGTTTAGAGGGATTTGGGCCAAATGTTGACAAATGGGACTAGATTTATTTAGGCTACCTGGTCGGCATGGACGAGTTGGACTGAAGGGTCTGTTTCTGTGCTGTACACCTCTATGACTCTGTATGAACAAAACAGGTGATGGCCACTTTCTGGTTTATTCCTCAAGGCAATACCTTGACCAGCTCTAGTTTAGCTCTAAATACAACTTGGCAGTTAACTGTCAGGCATCATCTACTTGGTGCATTCTTCATGGCAACATCTCTGCCAATGAGTCTGATTGCCAATGAATTAGCATTTTATCGTCATAGAGTATAAAAATGTCACTTTACCTCAGTGTTCATGCAAATTGTTACAAGTGCAAGATGTAAAGCTTCGATTAAAATGCATCTTTTTTTCAGCAATGCCCATGCATACATATTACAAAGTGACTCCAGGGAGCCATTCTAGCATTTCCAGTCTGAAAAATAATCAACAACCATGATGAACAGTTTTGTGTTCTTAAGTCAAATTTCCATCCAAGCTGAAACCGATCCTCCTATTATGTGCCTTAATTTTCTTATCCAGGCTTTTATATGGTGACTTGTCCAAGGATTTCTCAATATCCAGAAGAAACATCCATTGCTTTCCTATCACAAATCTTCTGTTACTTCATCAAAAAATATAATTAGTATTAGTCAAGTAGGATTTGCCTATTGTAATCCTTTGACTATCTGAACTCGGACCTCTGCAAAGTACCCTTTGATATTTCGAGATGGTAAGAACTGCCGATGCCGGAGTCAGAGATCACACAGTGTGGGGCTGGAGGAACACAGCAGGCCTACCCTTTGATATTTTTCCTCCCGATTATTGTTTTCAAACCTTACTTACCATTACTGAGAAAGTAATGGGCTGCAGTTATTTGTCATTCCATCCTTTCTTGAATTAGGGTGTCATCTTTGCCATTCTTCAATCCTCTAACATCTCCCTGATAAGTAGGGAAAATTGGAAGATTTATGGCAGACACTTTTACCATCTCCATTCCCATTTCCTTCGGCAACATGGATGCAATCTATCCAAAGCAGGTGACCTATCTGCTGTAAACATACCCTGTATTTGCTGTATATCCTTCCTATAAACTTTACCACTTCCGTTAACTCTACCATCTCCACCACTACCAATAGGTCAATATTCTCTTCCTTAGTAAGCACCAGTATAAAGCGCTCATTAAGTATTCTAGATATTTTTAATCAACCTGTTCAGATGTGTTATAACACATCTCTGGACCAGGTGGGACTTGAACCCAGGCCTCCTGGCTCAGGACACTATCACTGCACCACAAATGCCACCTTCATTAAGTATTCTACTCTTGCCCTGCAATTCTTAAATATATTCTTTCTTCTCCTAATGGGCAATGAATGACCCATTTCTCACTAATTGTTCATCATTTACATGCTTCTGGATGATTTTGGTGTTTTCTTATTTAACTACTGTTCTATTCTCAATTAAGTTAAAAGGCAACAGTAAAAGAAAAGAAAGTTTGACCAATATGTGGAAACATTCGCACTAAATATTGAGAAACACTTGCATCACTAAAATTGAGGAAGTAGAAAGGGGAACAGTGTTGTGCCTTTAAGGGGTAGAGGTGTAAACAGTTAAATATTTGTGAAGTCTGCTTGCTGAGACACGAGAGCCTTAATTAATTCTTTCTAGAATTTTAATTTTTATTCTTTAAAAGTACATGGTAAAAATTATGAAGAAGCTGTGTTTATGAATAAGATTAATGAGAGAAAAGGTGCATTTTCACTGCTTGCATGACCTTGCTGCAAAGTTTCAGTGTTTGGGCGGGGTGGAAATGGAAATGACACAATGTAATTGAAATTAACTGTACAGTGTGTCCTCCCTCTGTTACAGGTACTTAACAAAATATTGCCATTACCTTTCCTTGAATGTTTTTGAAGGAAAAAAATGTCATACCATTGGAATTGACCTAAATCCAAATTTCAGTTTTCTGTGTTAGATTGTCAAGAGTGAAGTCTTCTGAAAGTCACGCATGACCTTTAATTGAGGTTTTATGATTTCTTTTTACTTCATCAGTACCCTGTGCCTGCTGATGTTATTTGTGTGTGATGGAGAATGTGCCTTGCGTTTTCGGTGCCTTGACATTACTGCTGTGATCTTTCTGTACAGAAACTGGTATTTCTGTTATTAATGCAGAGTTCGCTTTCTTTATACAGACACAGTACATTCAGTGTTTGGAACAGTTATAATCACAGTTATTGATGATAAAACACTTAACCAAATTCTACTTCTGAGACATATTTTTCTATGTTCTGTAAGCCTTGTCTTTTTTGTTTCATTTGGTAGGCTGTAACTACTGTAGTGCCGCAGGGATTATTGCTGGCTCTTCGAGTATTTACAGTCTATATCAGTGATTTGGATTAGGAGACTGAATGTAAGGTTGCTAAGTTTTCCAATGAAAACTTACTTTCTCGCCTGTTTTGGTGTCAAGAGGAAATGGAAAGTCTGCAAAGGCCTATAGACAAGTTAGACGAATGTGAGAAAAAAAATGGCAGATGGAGTATGTTTATTGAAAGGGCAATGGAAGATAAAAGTAAGGCAGTCCTAGTGCAACAGTACAAGGCATTGATTGCTAACACCACCTCTGGAGCATTGTGCACAGTTTTGATCTCCTTATTTGAAAAAAAGAGAATTGCTTTAGAAGTAACAGTGAGAAGATTCAACTCTTTCCATGATGAGGGGCTTATCTTACAAAAAAAGATTGAACAGTTTATACCTATATCCATTAGAATTTCAAAGAGTGAAAGGTAACCTGAGTGAAGCATTGAGATCATGAGGGGATTGGATATGTGGAAATGTTTCCTCCTGAGGAGCAGGCTAAAACAAGTTAATACAGTTTATGTTTAAAATGTCTCCCTTTTAAGATGGCATGATGGCTCAATAGTTAGCGCTGCTGCCTCACAGCACCTCCGCAAACACCTCACAGGCATTATCCCTGTGCCTGCATGGGGTTCCTCCAGGTGCTCTGGTTTCCTTTCACAGTCCAGAAATGTGCAGGTTAGGTGGATTGGCCGTGCTAAATTGCCCATAGTGTTCAGGGATGTGTAGATTAGGTGGATGAGCCACGGGAAATGCAGGGCTACAGGGATAAGGTAGGCGGTGAGTCTGTGTGTTATACTCTTTGGAGAGTCAGTGTGGACTTGTTGGGCTGAATGGCCTGTTTCCACACTGAGAGAATTCTTCTAAGACAGATGAGATAAGTATTTTTTTCTCTCAGAGCATTGTTAATGGTGTGGAATTTACTTGCCCAGAATGGAGTGTAGGCATGGTGTCTCTATTTATTCAAAGCTGATTTAAGATAGATTTTTGACAGGCAACAGAGTCGAGGGTTATTGGGTGCAAGCAGGAAAATGGAGCTGAGATGCCAGACAGGTCATAAATGATTTTATTGAATGGAGGAGCAGGCTCAAGGAGCCAAAAGGTTTGTTCTTGTGAATGGAATATTTCTTGTCAGTTAGATTCCTCTCGTGTACCCTGCCATTCTTGAATGTTTGTTGCTGTGGGAAGAAGGTTGGGGAGGGATGTCAAGTGGAATTGTGGTGTGGCGCTGAGTGAGTTGATTTTTATACAGTCAGCACAGACATGTTGGGCTGATGGCCTTCTTTGTAACCATTCCATGATCCTCCTCAGATTGTGAGTACACCGTATTGGCAAGAAGCTGAGTGTGTGTTTTGCCACAAACAACTAGAAGGTTATGCAACATGCTTCTACATAAATTGTTGTCTTTTTTTTAAAAATTAACATTTTGAGATGTGAGGTAATGCAGGAGACAATCAATCTTGTAAAATGCTTAATTTAGCCTGTTTATAATATGGAAGCAATCTGTTATTATTATAGACTTTTGTATTGTTTCTCATCACATTAGTCTAACACTTTTTGATTATGTTTTCAGGGCATGTATACATTAATGGCCCGATGTGAAGAGCTGGACAGATCTATGCAGCCTATTCTTGTGTTGTCAAAACAGATCCGTGAGGTGAAAAGAACTCTGGAAATGTTTGAGACACTCTGCAAATAACTGGCTCTGTTGAAATGGTCCAGTGGTTGACTTTTCTTGTTCTGATATTTTTACTGACTATTACAATGTCAATAACTGCTGCAATAGAACATCTTTACAATTAGCAGCACTTTGGACACTGGTGATGGCATCTGCAAATCCTTCAAAGCCTGATTGTAGTGTTGCTAAACAAAACTTCATGCAGTTGGCTTAGCAAACTTGTTTACAAGCACCTTGAGATTTACATTATGTTCAACAGAAGTAAAAACATGTGCAAGCAGTACATAATTCATTGCCCTTATTCCTCCTTTAAGTGGAAAGTCTACTGCTTTTGCATTGATTTGAATTGGCAAATTGGGTTAACCTGCCTAGTTTCTGAACGAGTGTTGGAAGAAGCTATACTTCTTGGATTAAAAAAGGTCTTCAATAACAATGGAAATGGAGAGCACCATAAACCTGTCAATCTACTGCCTCAGAAGCAAAACGTTTGGGGAAATGTATTTATCATAAAATGCACTTAAGACAATGAATTTTTTAGGGAAAATAAAATGGTAATACAGTTTGAACTTGCACTGTGAAAGCATTTGAAATCAGGCTTGGAGTTCTTTGAAACAGTCATCTTTGTTGAAATTACACAAAATTGGTTGTCAATCAGTATCAAGCTAAGAAAAATAATGGCTTGATTGAAATTATGAAGTTTGTTTCTTAATGACCAATTTATTAAAGGGTATTTGTGTCTAGTCTTTATCTTACGGCAGTAACTCTGCTCCTGATGTAGATATGATCCCACCCAATATGATCAAGTTTAAAAACTCTGCTGTTAATTCCTACATGCCAACAGATCCAAATAGCCATATGGCTTCATTTGGGATCTGGTAGCAATTTAAAAGCCATGACATTCGTTTCTAGAACAACTTGTCTGAAAAGTTTTTCATCCTCAAGTGAGAAGCATTAAGCAAGAATGAAGCTGCGCATCATGAATGCCAGCTTCTTTGGTGATAACAGTAGCACTCTTGTATTTGAAGATAGTGCACTGAAGTCCTGCTTCAGTTTGAGAGCACATGAGGCAGAACATCATTTTAATGTCATGCAAAAGAAATAGTGCATTGCCAGAGCCATCAGATGTGTTCACTTGATGTTCTGCCTCAGTGGCAATTTATTTGAAGAAAGGTGCATTTTTCTGGTACCCCAGCCAGGTGAACTGGACATTGATCTATCTGGCTATTGTGTTTGCACTTCCACTAATGACTAATAACTTGTTGACTGTTTAGTGCTTTGGAACATTTGAAGATATGAAAGTTGTTAATGTAAATGCAATCTGTCTTTTTATATTCTTTGAAGCTGTTATTTAAATGAGAAGGAAACTACAGGAATGCACCCAGGTACTGGAAATATTTTGTACTGTAATATTTGCTACATAGTCTACCCAGCAAACTATTGGAGATGTTCGTTTCCTACAGGAAAGAAAGACTGTGATATTCGTTAAGAGGACCGGCATGGAGCAAATGTACAACTCAGAAGTGATTTGTATAGTTGCTCTGTTTTCAGACAGATCAAATCAATTTTAAAATATTTTATCAAATGCTTACAAATTTCACGGGACATTTGAGCCATTGATGAAAATCTGTTTGCTTGAAGGATAATTTTAACCAAAGCATTTCCCTTATTTCATGTACTCCAAATATATTAGGCTTTAAATTTATACAGAAAGTCTGGGGCGTTTTGCAAGGTCAGCAATTCATTCTTTGCAGCTGTGTACTACAACTGCGTCCTGGGTGGTTTCCTCAGCTCCTAAGGAATTCAAAGATTGTGTCCTCATTTGATTCTTGAAATAGATTTTGGGAGAATTTGATTTTTTTTTTAACAGGTTAATTTAATAACATGTTTTGAAGTCTGCTGTTTGCAGAACAGCCAACTGCTCAGATTGAAAGCAGAATGGATGTTTTAAATGTTTGGCTTTGAGACAGAAAATCATGGAATTCCACCCCAGTAATGTGTAGCAATCCAGATCACTTAGCTACCTCAGTTGAGTAAGCCTTTTCTAATGTTCTTTTAGCTCCATTATCTTCAAAGGTATAGCTCCCCGCAACCCCCCACATACCAAGAACAATAAAACTACTTTGTCTGATTTTCATCTTAACCATTGTGCAATATAAAATATTCATGGTCAGTTACCCTGCATTTTGATCAACCAGTATTCTTTTTTTCTCTGAAAATGAAGTTACTTTAGAAAGGAATTAAATAATCAAGTTGGAATTATATTTTGCTTTGAGTGTTCCAGTTATATATAAATATTTGAAGATGTCTCTCACAAAAGGTAATAGTTCATGTAAAAAAAAATTATACAGTACATTTACACCAATACAAACATAGGCCATGTGCAAGATCAAGATAGATAACCAAAAACTTGATCAAAGTAGTAAGGAGCATCTGAAAGGAGAGATATTCAAGGATAGAATTTCAGATCTTCAGGCTCAGGAAATGGAAAGCATGGCTGTCAATAGTGGAACAATTAAAATTGGATGCCCAAGAGGCCAAGATTGGAAGAGTATAGCAATCTCTAAGATTTGTGGAGCTGTAAAGGGCATTGTAGACATGGAATGGAGAAGTTCTCTGAAGGATTTGATAAAGCTTTTTAAAATTGACTTATCAGATAGGAGCCAGTGAAAATCAGGTAAAGACTGAAGTGATGGTTGAACAAGATTTGAAACAATATAAGTTAGGGGTAGAAAAGGTTTGCGTGAGCACAAGTTTGTGGAACATCTGGAAATGGATGATGAAACAAATTGCTGGAGACCTTGGAATCTGTAGTCATTGGACTTTAGCTAGTGGAGATGAGTTGTCATATTGTGAGGAATGATCATTGATAAAGAGTGAATTGGTTTAAATGGGGCAGAAAGCATTAAAAATATTGATGTGATTCAGTAAATCTATAGCATGGTGATGTTGATGGCTAGGAATTGGGAATTTGAATGTACAGTGATAAGAAACTTGAGAGCGTAGATTTCCCACGGATGGATGTAAATTGACCTGTGAGGGTGATGGGGAATATATGTAAGAGAATGTTGCAAGGAATTGATCAGTGATTACGTTATCAGTGATTGAATTAGCAAGGCATTATGTGACTTGTGTGACAAGTCTAAAAGTGTGACCTTGTTTATGCCCAGGAGAGTTTGTGACCAGAGAGTTTTTGAGATGAAGAAGAGTAATAAAGTCAGGAGAGAGAGAAAGACGTAGTATGTTCGGGATTGAAATCACAAAGGATAATAAGTAGCTTGGTGCAGAGATTAAGGGACAAAACTATGAAAATTTCTCTGAAGAACTCAGTGGTATCTGTGTGTGTGTTTGTGTGTGGCAGGGAATTACAGAAAGCGTTTTAAATTAGATGTGAAAGATCTATAGCTGTCTCAAGTTTGTGGTGGGAATGTGATCTTTCCCAATAAGTTCATGAAGGCAAGTCCTTTGGTCACAGCTGAAGATACATTTGAAGGGAAGATGTGGAAAGAAGCAATGATAGCTATTTGACTGGCATAGGATCAACATTGAGATTCATGAGAGGAATAGGAAAGAGATTGATCCAATTAATGTAGGAATGTTAAGAGAATAGGATGAGACGACTGGAGTTGATACTTATTTGAAGGCGGCAATGAGTGATTTCAGGTGATGGCAAACAAGGCCCAGTGGGAAATGAAGGCTTATCAAAGAGAAGATCAGACCTAGAGTGGTGCCAGGGTTAAAAATAAGGCCACTAGGATTAAGGGTTTTGTGAAGGTTGAGTACCCTGAGATACAAGAAAGTAATCCAAGAGGAATAAAAGAGGAGAAAAGGGAAATAGTAGTGAGAGGATTAGGCTTGGGTCTGAAAGCAACCAGAATGGACATGGGAAACTTAACTACATTGATGATATGGTTATATGTTAAATTAATATAGTTGTGCTTTGAAGTACATGAGAAGTAGAGAGCCAAAAACATAGGGGGAGTAGATTTGGAGTCAGTGACAAACTTTTTCTGCAGGAGTCAAGACAGTTGATGAAACCAATAGCTGTACAACAGGCAAAACATTGAGATATGTGTTTAATATAATTAAAAAGCCATGGTCTCCTGTGGCATTTTTGAAACTGTTGCTAGTGCCTGGACTTGCAAATGGGAGGCTAGCCAACCATTAGTGAATTGGTAATGAATCACTGATAAATATAAAAGTTGGAATAACCATTTGCCATCTCATCAAGCATGAAAACTGGGAGTCAAGAAGTATTTTACTGAAATAAGATGAATACCTTCTGAGTAATTTTATGAAGTATTGAGTTGTACAGTTCAATGTGCAAAGTTGCTGTTCTAAGCATTGTTGCTCCAAGTGTCAGTGTCTTATGAGAGTGAAGCAGCTAGAGAGGGTAAAGCGATTTCTTCTGTGGTGACTTAACCTTAAAACATAACTGAATTTGAGAAGAACTGCCAGTTGAAATGTCAATCTGAAGTCTCTAGGTGCAACCATTCAAGGTAGCTGCCGTTGAACCTAAACAAGACAAATGTTTTTATATTTTCATGGGGTGTGGATGTTGCTGGCTTGGACAGCATTTATTACTCATCCCCGAGTGACCTTGCAAAGGCAGGTGTTCCATCTTCTTGAACCACAGCTGTCTATGTGGCAAAAGTATGGCGACAGTGCTGTCACAAAGAGATCCACGATTTTAATGCAGCGACAGTGAAACATCCATTATATAGTTCCAAGTCCAAGTTCCAAAACAAGTTACACACAAAAATATTTTATACTTATGTGACATTCTTCCTCTCTTGTTTCTCATTAATATTTCCACATTATGCGCAGATGGGGCTGTGGTGGTTAGTTTGTCCATAATATTATAAAGCACTATTGGATTTGAAATACTTAATGTTGCTCTTGAAAGCACCAAACCAAAGAGCAAGTGGAGAAAGACTCTCTAAATATTGAGAGGATTGGAATGAAGGTACCTTGGGGCCTAGCTGGTACAGAGATTAGAGTTGTCTGTACATTAAGAAAAGCTAGTAATAAGCCTGATTCCATTCAAATTTATTCAAGGTTCCTTTCCCTGTGATCTGTGACATCATCACAGGTGGCACTGTGACACATTTCCAGATATTAACCCTTTCAGGTCCTTATATTGCATAAATTCTTTGAACTCCAGCATATTGAATCAAGTCCTGTTGCACTTTGATCTGGATGACCGATTTTAAGATCAGCGATGCTGGCGTCCCCATCAGCAACTCAAATGCCTGTAAATCATTTCCTCAATCACCAGCAAATATAAAGCTATTGGGAGTTACAAAGCTAATTGTTTAAAAAATAATCAAATGGCTTGATGTGTCATCCAAGTCTCCTCTGGCTGTACCCCTTCCCAACACTCTCACATGTTCCTGATCTTGTATAGATATCATAACTGCATTTTAGGTTGTGCTTTGTGTATAGTTGGGATTGGTGTTTATGTCAAAATGAGTGTGAAAACTTTGACGCTCAGCCACTTTTAAAAGCAGAGTTAATTTCTTTTTGATCGGCTGGCAGGTTAGCTGTTCATGCTGTCTGCAGGCCAATG